GCTTTGAGATTGCCAAAAGCCTTGTGGAATACCCATATCAACGACCTCGCACTTACAGGAACAGCTTCTTGAACCAATTCACGAGAAGATGAAGACCTTGGAATCGTTGATCAACCGCAACCAGGTACGCATTCTCATGGCTGCCTAAGCTTCAGGTTTCATCGTGGCTGACCTTTTCCTCTTTTGATCTGATGTCAATTTTGTCGACTTGGAGGCAACGCTCTCTAATCAGAGCCTTATTGTACCCAACGTTGTAAGTCACTTACTTCAGAGCTCTAAAAACTTGTGAAGTGCCTTTCTGAGGGTTCATCACCATTCCAGGAACCGCTTCTTGAACCAATTCACGAAAAGATGAAGGCCTTGGAGTCATTGATCCACTGCCGTCAGGTGCGCATGCTGAAAGAGGCCATAGTTTGATTCCTGGCTTAGTGAAATTAATTTTTTTGACACATTTTTTCAGGCAACTCACTCTGATCGGAGCCTCATTGTCACCGACACTGTATGTCACTTTGGAGCTCTAAAAGCTTTGCGGAGTACCCTGTCGAGGGCTTATCACTACCTCTGACTTACAGGAACGGTTGCTTGAACCAATCCACAAAAAGGTAAAGGCCTTGGAGTCCTTGATCCATGACAATCAGGTGCACATTCTCAAGGATTACTTGGTTTTGACCTTGGCTGACCTCTTATTCTATTGATTCGATGTCAAATTTACAGGTAACACATTCTAATCAGAGCCTTATTGTCCCCAATACCGTAAGTGACTGGAGACCTTAAAAAGTGTTGCGCAATACCTTGTTGAGAGACCATCAGTACCTTCGTTATACAGGACGAGATTCTTGAGCCAGTTCACACAAAGATCAAGGCCTTGGAGTCCATGATCAGCAGCAATCAGGTGCGGATTCTCCAGGCTTCTTGAGTTTTCAGCTTTGTGACCTTATATTTTCTTCATATATTGTTGAATTTCAGGCAGCATGCTCCAAGGTTAATCAGAGCCTTATTTTACCCAACGTTGTAAGTCACTTTAACTCACTTCAGAGCTCTAAAAACTTGGTAGAGTACCTTGTGAGGGTTTATCACTACCATTGAAT